CTGTCTCTAGCAGTTCAGACCAGAGGGACTGGGGCAATGGGTTGGAATGTTCAGAGCCAGTTTCATAGATGACCTCATCCCAGAAGGGTAGGCAGAGGGAGGATGTGTGGGGAGGAGCAGGCAGGACATACCAGTCTGGGGAAGAAGACGGGGATGGGGAGAGCAGGGAGGGGAGGATGTGTAATAAACAGGGAGGAAAGTGGCTTGTGGAGGGGCCCTACTGGGAAGAAAGGGAGGTAAGGTGACCTTTGCCTCATCCCCATCTGCTGAGTTGACAGCTGGCTGGGGTATTCCCTCCTGTGAACTCTCACATCCACCAGTTTTGGGATTGCCAGGGATCTCTAAGTCTGGAAACAGGGTAGCTCTCTGGAAAGATCTCTGTCCTTGGAGAGTGGGGTCAATGAACAGAGGGTTCTAGACCATACCGACTGTCTTACTCATTGTCAGCTTCAGGTATCTAAGATTGTCATCAATTCCATTTGGGGAGGGATCCTATCTTAATTTTCTTTATGTCTCCCTTAGTGTCTAACAAAGTTGTCCACAGAGTAGGTGCTTCATAAATGATCAATGTATTGTACTGTATTTAATTGCATGTGTATAACCTATATCAGATTGCTTATAGTCTCAGGGAGGGATAGATTTGGAACTCAAAACTTTTTTGAAAAGTTAAAATTGCTTTAACATGTAATTGGGGAAAAAAATAAAATGCTATTTTAAAAGATGATCAGTGAATTGAATGTATGCTTTGTAAAGTCCAGAAAGTCCCTATACCTTCCTGTGCAGGGAGAAACTGGGGTGATATTGAAGAGACAAGGACAGACTCAGCCCAGCTGGAAAGGGTTTCCACTCTGGGGAAACCCCTTAAGAAAGCCAGAAAATTCTGTTGCTACAAATAGAATTCTTTTCTGGCCTCAAACTCAGAAAAGTCAAGAACTGTTGGCACTTTCAAACTAGGGCTGCCTAACCTTCATTCAAGGCCTTCCCCATACCCAATCAGCCAGGTTCTCAACTTGGGGAATGTGAATTTGTTTTTAAAAATATTTTGATAATTATTTCAACTAATCCTATGTATTTTAATTCAACATAGTAATCCTACATATTTTAATTTTATGCATTTAAAAACATTATTCTGAGGAAGGGTCCATCAAACAAAGGGGTCATGACACAAAAGAAGGTTAAGGACCCCTGAGCTGGAAGGAACTTCATCCCATACTTCTCTCTATTACTGAAATATCACCATATCTCAGATGGAAAGGGGCAATCACCCAAAGGACAGTGTCCTTTGACAGCAGGGATGGGGGTAGGACAGGAAAGGGAGGTTGCTCTGGATCTTGGCTCATGAAGCTCTCTCTTCCTGGAGTATCCTCTCTTTTCTTCTCAGCCAATCTTCTGAGTTTGGCTCAAGTCTCACCTCCTGCAGGAAGGCTTCCTTGATTTATTGAAGCTAATTCTGACTTCCCATAACCCTTTGATACCTTCATCTCTCCACCCACTCAGCACTTTGCCAGGCCATCACCAGGGCTTTGGCTACACTCTCATCTCTTTCCAATCTCCACATCCTTAGGGGACCAGTTCAATTCTAGACCATCTTCTCTCTACTCTCCATTTCTTTACTCTCTGATTTTATTTTCCTCACTCCTTGACAAACCTCAATATGGATTACTGTCACGTCTTCCCCCCTTGCTCTTACTTACATGCTGCTGAACAGAGCTTGAAGAGGTATCCTAACCACGCTGACTGGTTCTATATAGATTTATGCACTCTAGTCTCACATGGGCCCTTTTACTCCCCATTAATTAATTTTCTATCCCATCCCCCAGAAACTGGTCCAAACCCCCTTTTCTTTCCTCAAGAATCCAACAGCACTCTCTCCCTCTTAGATGAGCCCCAGGCCTCATTCTTCAGTAAAACAGAGGCTATTTATCTCCTTATCTGACAATTTCTCCTTCTCATCTTAGCCCCTTAAAACCATCCTCCACCATTTCCTGTTCTGCTCCCTATCAAAGCTAACACTTCCACTTATACCCTTGATACCATCCTATCCCATTTTCTCCAGAAGACTGACCCTACCATCATCAACTTTCTTTCTAATCTTCAGTCCCTTCCCTGCCTACTGGCTCCTTCTCTACTGCCTACAAAAACACCCAACTGTCCCGAACTTTAAAAAAAAAAAAAAAAACCTCGCTAGATCCCACTATCCCTACTATCATCTCATGTCTTTCTTTTTCTCCACCAAATTCTGAAAAAGCCATCTATGTTGGGTACCTCTACTAGCTTTCTCTAAATCTCATAAACTCTCTGCTATCTAGCTTCCGACCTCATCATTCAGCTGACGCTGTTTACTCCAAAATCACGAATCATCTTTTAATTCCCAAAGCCAATGGCCTCTTCTCTATCCTCAATGTCCTTGACCCTTCTCTGTAACTTTTGATACTGCTGACCACTCTCTCCTCCTGGATACTTTTTTCTCTTTGAGTTTTCATGATCCTGCTTGCTCTCTTCTGTTTTCCTCCTACCTGACTATTCCTTTTTAGTTTCCTTTGGTAATTCACCATCCATATCATGCTACCAAACTGTGGGGCCATCTCCAGTTGCTTGCCAGATGTCTCTGGGGAGAAAGTGAGGCTGGTTGACTTTACACAACCTCCCTCACTTAAATCCAAATTCACTTGCATGTCATGGCATCACCTCCCTGACGTCATGGTCTTCTTCCAGAATGAAGGACAAACAACAACAGCCACCTAACTGTGGAGATGTCCCACAGCTTCATCTTGGGCTCTCCTTTCTTTTCTCTTTTACATTCTCATTTGGTGACCTCATTATAGTTCCAATAGGTTCAATCACCATTTCTAGGCAAATGACTTCAGATCTATAACAGAATGTTCTCAAAATCTTGGTGCTGTATTCAGCCTTAATAGCTTAATAATAAGCTTTAACAGCATTTGGAACACCTTGGATATCCAGTTCCAGTCTCTCTCCTGAGCTCTAGTATCATATCATAACAGCCTAGTAGATATTTCAGACTGGATGTCCTGTGGGCATCTCAAACTTAGCATGTGCAAACAGAACTCATTATCTTTTCCCCAAAACTCACCCTTCTTTTGAATTTCCGTTATCATCAAGAGCACCACACTGGACACCCCAATACCATTCTTGACTCTCACACACATTCTCACACACCCCACATATTCAATCAGGTGCCAAACCTTGATGCTTCTATATCAACAACATTTCTCTAGTATGTCCCCTCCTTTCCACTCACACTCTACCTTGGTTCTGGTGCTCATCCACATCTCTCATGGACTATGGAAATAGTTTCCTGCTTGGCCTCCCTGCCACAAGCCTCTCTTCACTCCCCATTCCCCCTCCCTACAGCTGCCAGAGTGGAAACCTCTCTAAAGTGCAGGCCTGACCAGGTCAACAAACTGAAGATGCTCCCCAACGCCTTGAGGCTCGAATGTAAACTCTGGTATTTAAGTTCTTCACAACCTGACCCTTCCTACTTTCCAGTCTTTCATACATTACTCTCCCTGGATTTTGTGATCCAGCCAAACTAGACAAGTTGGTGTTCCAACGCAAGACACTCCCACCTCCATGCCATTGCACCCCATCCCTAGAATTGTCTGCTGCTCTCTACCTCTTAGAATCTCCGATTTCCTTTTTTAAATTAATTTTTTATTTTTCTCTTGATTTCCTTTAAGACTCAGCTCAAGTGCCTCCTCTTAGACTCTTCCTTAGAAACCTTTTCTGATCCTTCTCTCATGCTAATCTCTCTGTCCCATAACTCCCTTTTATTTATTTTTAATGCATTATGTATATACTTTTATGTATACATGCTATCTCCTCCTCCTCAAAGGAACAGTTTGACTTTTTTCCTTGTATCTCCAGAGCCTCGAATACAATAAGCAATTAATAAATACAGACTGACCAAGTAACTTACTGAAACGTTTTTGTCCTCTATTGCTCTCTTAGAGATGTAAGTCCTACCCTTAATTCATGGAACAACTTATAAAGGCCCACCTCCTCCATGAAGCCTTCCTTTCCTCTCCAGCCACACCATAGAATCCTGACAGAAAAGGGCTGGGTCTTGGGCTGCTCCTCATCCCCCACAGCATGGTCTAAACCAGTTGCACAAAGCTGGCACTCAATATACTCACTGATTGGAAGCAAAGAACCAAACATGCCCTTTCAGTGAGAGTAAACAGAAGGCATCCTGAGACAGGAACTGAATGTGAGTGCAAGGCTTTTGGAGAGCTGGTGTATGTATGCATATATGCATGTGTACAATTATGTGTGTGGGTTTATAGTCTTGTGTGTGTGGTACATGTATGCCATGGAGGCACATGTATGCATGGTACATGTATGCTACTGGGGGACAGGCATGTATGCTACTGAGGTACATGTATATGTGGTATGTGTATGCTACGGAGGTATGTGTGTGTATGGCACATGTATGTATGGTATGTAAGTATGACAGCCAGACACTGCTAGAAGGCTGGGGAACGCATTCTCTCATTGGTGGTCCAGAGACTTGCCCCTGTGCTTTTCTGCTGGTCCCCACCCCATGCAAGGATTAGAGGGGGAATGGCAGGCCCCAAAAGGCAGCAAGGGAGCAGGGCAGCCATCTGGCAGAGACCAGAAGAGGATGGCTGTCCCCTGGGCTGAGCCACACCCCACTAAACAGTTTTTGTCCCAGGGAAAAATATTCCTAGTGGTGCTTCTGATATGGTAGGAAGGTAGATAATAAGCAGAAACCCTGCATTCGGGCTTCCTCATCACGTGGTGCTGAGAGCCATAGAGAATGTCTCAGCCGGGAGAGGTGGGGAAATGATGGCCAGAGGCCCCTCCAAAATAGCCACCCCCACCCCTGCCCCGCTCCGCTGAGAACTCCCAAATACTGCCATTCCCCCTCCCTTCCCCTGCTCCCTCTTCCCCCCTGATAACGTGTCATTAGGGCCTCCACAGCTCCCAGGGCAGTAGCAATGAATGCAGGAACATACCTCCTCGCCTCAGATGGGCGTTTGCTCTTCCCCTCCTCGGCTGTGATTGATTAAAGGATCAGGGACATCTGAGAGCCTGGCCGTGGCGGGAGCCGCCACTGCGACTCCCTTTGGACTTGAAGAGCTTCCTTGCCTGCTGCTTGCTGCTGCCGTGGGCTGTCAGGCAGCTTTTAATCAAGGTTTGCTTATATCTGCAAAGGCCTTTCCCACAGGGAGGGAGAGAGGGGGAAAAAAAAGGTGGGGGAGGGAGAGGGGAGGAAGGAGGAGGAAAGGAGGAGAGGGGGAGAACGCATTAATATTTCAACTACCCTCTGTGCTTATCTCTTCCCCTCCTCCCTCCCTGCTGCCCAACCCTGCTCCTTTATTAGGGAGAGGGTCACCACCCGGGAGCGACGGGATGAAGGGCAGATCGCTGGGTCAACAGGCCTCCCAACCCCCACCATGCCCGTGCCCATCCTCCAAGTTTCCAGCTGGGAAGGCAAAGGGGAGATTATCCAGCCGGGACAGTGAACAGATGGCAGCTAATTCATTTCAGGAAGCATTTATTAAGTACCTACTAAATGCCAGATCCTGTGCTAGCCCTGTCCTCTAGGAGAGCACATTCTACTGAGTCACCATCAAAACAGTGACGGATCTGTCAACAAGAACCACGAGGGAGGGGCAGAGAGGGCTACAGGAAGGAGGAAGAGGGTGATTTGGTGTTGCTTGTTTCTGGAGCGGGGGAAACCATGGGGAAAAAAATAGCGTGGTCAGTGGGGAGAGAACTGAGATTCTGAGGGAAGAATGGGTGAAGGAAGTACCAGTGTTCATCTTTTCCTCAAAATTAGCTTCAGCAACTGCAGCCCTACATGCCACGCACCTCCCATGGGGCTGGCCCCCTGGAATGAGAAGGTGAAGGCAGAGGTGGAAGGAATACATCTAATTCAGGGTCATAGGAGGACTGAGAAAAATAGAGAATGGGCATACAGAGGACAGGTTTAGAAGAAACAGGGGTGTCAGGAGATAGCCTGAAGATTAAATAATCCGGTTTATGGAAAGTGAGAACACTAGCGAGACAGCCTGATCCCCCCTTCTCCCCACTTGGGCCCTCTCTGCTCCAGCAGGCCCATCCCTTTAGCGTCCTCCCTACACTCCAGAGGTGATGTGGCATCGAATGGTGGACTTGGAGCCGAGAACAGTTAAGTCTGAACCTAGTTTAGAACCTCAACAGCAGTGTGATCCCCGACAAGTCATTTAACTTCCCTGAACCTCAATTTCTCATCTGTAAGACAGGAATAATAAAACTACCTCTCTCACATGTTTGTGAGAATCGAATGAGATAATATGTGTAAGCACTTTGTAAACCTTCAGAGCCCTATATAAATGTAAGCTGTTATTATTGTGCCATACTTATTTTCCCACCTCCACACCTTTGCTCCCTCCTGAATGCCCTTCCCTTCAATCTATGCTGCAAATCCAAATCTTTCCCATCATTCGGGGTTTGGCTTCAGCCCCGCTTCTTGTGTGCAGCCTTCCCAATGCACTCTAGCCCACAGAGATCTTTTCCTCCTCTGACTGTATGGACCTGTCCTGCATTGTTCTGAAATTGCTCTATGTCCTTCAGTCTTGTCTCTCTGACCAGGATGAATCCTTCTAAGATCAAGGGCTGTATCTAAGCCAAAAGCTCCTTCAGCTTTCCCTCATTTTTGCTGAGGGTCCCACTATTCTTCCAGTCCCAGAGATGCACAATATAGGAGTCATTCTCCACTCTTCCCTCATTCACCCTCTAAATCCCATCAATCACTTGCAGATTCTTGTCTATGCTACCTCCTCAACATCTCTCATGTCTGTCCTCTTATCTCTGCTTGGATCACAACCACTCCAGTTCAGGCCCTAATCATCTCTTGCCTAGACTATCTAAATCCTGTCCTAATTGGTCTCCCCTACCTCACTTCCTCTCTCCCCTTTCCAAACTAAACTCCCCAAAGCTACCAAACTGACTGTTCTAAGATGAAAGTCTGACCATGCTTCTCCCTTGCTCAAGTTTCAGTAGTTCCCCATGGCCATTAGGATAAAATTCAAATTCCTTGGGTATTTAAAACCCTTCACAATCTGGCTCCAGATTATCTTTCCAAGTTTACTTGCCCATCATTCCTCCTTGAGAGCTCTACTCTGCAGACAAACTGGCTGACTTACTGCTTCCCATACCTGACATTTGATCTCCTAATTCCCCTCTTCATGCTCAGGCTCAGAATGCTCTTCCTCCTTATCTCCTTCTCTTGGAACCCTGTGTCTGCCTTCAAGGCTCAAGTGACACCTTCTTCAAAAGGTCTTTCCTGACTTCCCCAGTTTTTAGTGCCCTGAAATGAGATCACTTTGTATATATTTTGTACACAATCTTTATTTTCTTAGCTGTAAATGCGGTGTTCCCCTCCCACCTCAATAGAATGTTTGCTTTTTGACAGCAGGAACTGGTCAAGCTTTTGAATTTGTGTCCTAGTGGCTAGCACAGTGCTTGGCCCAAAGTAGCAGCTCAATACAGAGACCCTCAATACAGATGCTGCACTAAATTCATTCATTCATCCAAGCCTATGACAGAGTACCACCCTGGGTGCTATGAGAGATACAGAGAAGACATTGGACTCCTCTTAAGGAGTTTATAATCTAACTAACCAATGTAATATAAAGTAGTATACTATAACTGCCAGAGACCTAATGCAAACCTAGGTCTGGGGGCATTCAAAGAAGGGAGATAGCACATCTACTTGAGGAAAACAATAGGAATCACAGATCGAGGAAGGTATTGGGAGGAGGGAGCATTTGAGCTGATAGAAAAGAAATCCAAGAAATTTAATCAGGGTAGGATCTCCAACAGGAAGTGCTAGGGGATTTTCAGTCCCTTCCCCTTGAAGGAGACCAAAGTAAGGACACAAGCAAAGGTGTGCCTAAATGTATGGGGACAAAGCCTGGTGCCATTTCCCCCTTCTTTTTCAAAATATACAAGTAGTAGACTGAATTTGGAAGCAGAATACCGAGGTTTTAAGCCTTGCTCTTCCACCTACTACTGACTAGTCCAGGTATGGGTAGTAACCTGAGGCCTCAAGGCCCTGTGGACTGGGCCAAAGCAAATTCATCTATAAAATCATGGAGATAGACAAGATGACTTTTAAGGTTCTTCCAAATGTAATCTGTAACTTCCATGGCAACATGTATGTGCCCTGTCACCCACATGAGGAGAGGGAGAACTGAGGGTAGAAAAGGGAATAAGCATTTATAAAGCATCAACTGTGTGACAGGCACTGTGCTGAGTGCTTTTTTTTTTTTTAAAACAAATCTTTTTTCATTTAAACCTCAACACAACCCTACAAAATAGGTGCTATCATTATCCACATTTAACATTGAAGGAAACTGAGGCAGAGGATAAGTGACTTGCCCAGGGTCACACAGCTAGGAAGTGTCTGGAGCTGGATTTGAATTTGGGTCCCAACTCCAGGTCCAGTGCTCTATCCACTGAGCTACCAGGTACCTCAAGGGAGGGGAGGGGGTCAAGGGGGTGTTATTTTCCTGGGATTCTGCAGTTTTTGCTAGGGATCTGTCCAAGTCTTGCCTCACACAGCAGAACCATTTTTAATCACCCTAATGCATTTCAGCCTTCGGACAAATCATGGGGCAGGAGTAAGGAGCCTTGGCATGTTGTCAGCTTCCTTTCAGCATCCCACAAGTTTTCCTGCACACTATACCCTCCCCCACCCTCAACCTCTTACACACACACACACACACACACACACAACACACACACACACACACATCCAGGTGCTAAGTGCCCTCAAGTGGTCCAGGGATTTTACAAAGGTCCACCCTGGAGTAATGGCCCCTTCTCCCTATCTTTTTTTATTTCCCTTCTCTGCAAAAAACAAAACACAAATAATCTCTCTATCCTGAGTTCCATGTTTTCAAAGATGCTGCACTTGGCTAGGGCTAATTTGATGAGCTAAGAAAGGCGGAGTTGGGGTTAGGAACCTTAGATTCTACCATTACATCTCGGCCACTAATATACTGTTAAGACAATGGGGTGAATTCTCCTTTTTCTGGATGAACCTCAGAGTTCCCTTTATAAAACAAAAGGGTTAAACTAGATATTTCTAAAGTCTCTATCAGATCTGAAATTCTGTGGTTCTAATTCAAGTAAAGGGTCAACTAGCGACAAAAGGCATGCTAGCAAACATTTCTGTTTTAACAGGGGCCTTCAATGCCCTAACCCAAAGAAGCATCTCTAATGGCAGAATTTCAGGAACTATGTCAGACTGGTACAGTAGCTATCTTTGACTAGGGGGCTTTCATTATCATGCAGGTGGCCAGTAACTACACTGTACTTAATGCTAGCTCTCCCTGGCCACATGTAAAAAGTCCATCCAGAACAGTCTATGTAGTAGGTGACAGCAGAAACTTGGGCCTCTGGGCCCAAGATACCTTATTATTGCCACTGACATCTATTCTTTCATTTCTAAACAGTTGGGCAGGGTAATACTCTGGCACCCAAGCTAACACTTCTCTTCCTCTCCCCTTGCCTGAATTAAGAATCAGTGATCCTGGGTTCTAATCCTTGCTCTGCTACTTACTCTTGGGAGGCAGTTTCCTCATCTGTAAAATGACTGGGCTGGAGTAGATGGCCATTAAGATCCCTTCCAACTCTCATCTATGAGCCTTTGAAATGAATTTGGTTAATAAGGGTTTGCTTTTGGTGTTTCCCAACAGCCCTGGAGATAACTCCAGATGCTCTAGGGTATTGATTAACCAAGACTGTAGGTCAATCATAGTTGGACATCTGCTCTCTTAGGATGGTGACTGTATTCAGCCAGTTCTGTGCCAAACAGGCTATGGGCACCCACTCATTTATTCATTCATTCATTCAACAAACATTTGCTAAACACCTACTACCTACCGGACCTATGAAGAACTCTGTGTTTGGCACTGTGGGGTAGATAGATAAGATAACAAATATACATTACAAAAACCTGTAATACTCAGTCAATAGAGCACAAACTAAGTGGAACTGACTTGTCCAAATGGAGTAAGCAGCAAACACTATTTGGATAAAGCAGGGGATTCAGTTCAACAATTCAATTCAAGAAACATTTATTTAATATCTATGGTATAAATAGGCAAAGAGCTTACAGTCGAATATGATACAGTGAACTATAATATACAGTAT